TGTACCATACAGTTGGATCTTCATTATGGTTAGAACAGGCCAGATTGCGTCTCTGTTGTCACCATACAGTTTACAGTGTTGGAGCACATGTCAGCATTTTCGGGTGCCAAGTTGCAAGGGCACGTCTCCGTGTTTCTACACCCAGAAGTTTGAAGAAAATTTCTTGACGAAGTCTGTTATGCCCTGTCCTATGGTTGTATGTGTCTGAATAAATATGTTTTAGTGTTTGTATGTGTATAAAAGTGTATGTATGTATTAGTTGGTATGCTTGGGTATGTAAATGTGAATGTGTGTTTGTGTATGTGTGCTGAATGTATGAATTTGTTGGTGTTTGTGGCACTGTATAAATGTGTTTATGTTTGTGTGACTGTATAAATGTGTATGTATGCCTGAGGGTTCATGAATGCTCATGAGTAATGACAAAATTATTTCAAAAATTCTAAACCTTTTAAATCCCACCATTAAAAAAGGAAATCCGAAGCCTAAAAAAAAAAAAAAAGTAAAGTCGAGAGATGTGAACCAGCGTCATTGCACACGGTTATAAACCATAAGTGCTTTGCCACCAGTAGGGACAGCTGATAAGAATTGTCCACATGTGTCGCCGTTCGCACCTAACTCTGTAGTTACAGCGACGTTCCTCCATTTACCCTTGAGTGTCAGCTCTGGTACCCTTTTCCTAGAGACTGGATGAACCCCGGGAGCCGCCCGGTTTCGAACACCGGTCGTGGGCTGCGGCGAGATGCAGCTGGATTTAAAAGTGAGCCTCTTATCGACTGTGCTAGATCTAAAAGTTAAATGTTAATTATACACATAGGTGGCTGACTCAGGAGATGAAAGATCTCGGATTTAGTGACTTGAATGTAGACACAGCTGTATAAACATCATCGCATTCCCATTTTGAGATACTTGACTACAGTCTGAAAGAAGTTACCTTTAGGTCTGTTGTCAGAAAGTATCTTTCCAGAGGAGGGGTGGATGTCAGATGCCAGATCGGCAACAGGATGACGTTGCTGGGCCGTTGTGTGCATGATATGACCCATATATGAACTCAAGGTGTGATCAGACTGAGTGACTACAAGAAAAGCCCGGGCGAATTATCTAGACCCAGGAATACGCTTGACCGAATGCAAGAGCAACCCGTAGAGGGAATGAACTCTAGAAAAAAAAAAAAAAACGACTGCTCGAGGAAAGATCGGGTGCATTTGTGAGGACAGTTTGTGGAGAGAATTTGAGCGACTCTAGGACAGAGACAGTGTATAACTGACTGTTAAAATATTAGTACGGTAATGATAATTGATCCTTAGTCTTGTTTTTCGATTAGGCTGTAGCTGTGATTTGTATGGTACTGTGTTTAACGAAGTTATCTTGCTTGTAAAGTTATTGTGTTGTTAGGAATTACTCACGTAGATTCTGCTAAAGCATTAGTTGTGGCGTTAGCATCTGCTTGCACACATTTGGGCCCTCACTCTTTGTGCGCCTCTGAATCCTCGTGGCGTGGGCACCGGCAGTGGCCAGCGCTGTACGAGAATGATGTGGGTTTGGGCCCAGATCTTATTCATGGGGACTGCTCAGGCGTTATACAGCGATTGTATAGCTGGTACAGCCTACGTTACGAATAAGAGGCACCTGCAGATCTTGATGAGTACTTTCATTAGCATGATGCTCTTTATACATGAAAACTTTTGTGTGTGCTTGACAGGTATTCGGTTTTGTGTGTCTTAGTCAGATTTATATGTTGGCGGCATACGATGCGAGCCATAGTTATGATACCATACACTAGGTATGTGGCAGTGTCCTGCCTGGATAGTCGCCCAGATTAGATGTTGCGCTCGACTATGTCTACGACCATGAACGTAATGGTATAGTGCTGTGAAGGCTGTGTCCACTTATACTGCTATCCACTTTGTGGACATCCATATGCTACACACTACCGCAATGAGTTAAAGGCCGTGAATTGAAATAGTAACGTCTGTTTATTTCGCTAAGCGGGCGCAGAAGCACATCTTGATTGGCACGACAAAAACAACACAGTACATACGTTCTCGCGTCCCGTCTTCAGATGCGTCTTGTAATAATCCTACTTGTCCAAGGAATCTTCTCTTGAACAACACAGCACATTGATTAAAAGCTACACGTAGATAAGCCCCTCCACCGATGAAGCATTGTAGTCATCTCTGCTCGTCCGTCCGTTATGAGCTCCTTTTATCAAGCGTGCCGTAAGAGGCTAGAATGGCGGTTGGCCATCCTTCCTTTCTTGTAACTTCTAGAACTTCTATTCTCTGGTCCTGTCACTGTCATATTGCAGTCTTGTCAGGTCCAGCTTCCGTGTTACCGGACTGGTAGTCAGCGTTCAGCTCGTACGACTGCTGCAATCTAAACTGATTCTTTCTCATTCTCCTGCTGCTAATATGTTGCAAGGTCCCGTAAATCACATGATCTGTTCCTAAACATTTCATTGGGTAACTATGATAGCATTTTGCTTTCCCACCAAAGTTTAATGTACTAAATTAATTACCAGGTGTTATTGGAAAATTGTCACTCTAATTGGGTCTATGTGACATTCCAAACATTCTCTGACGGGTGGCGTCTAGCACCTCAGTCTGTGAGAATCGTTTTGTTTGTGACTTTAGTTAAGCGGCGTAAATTTGCCAGCTCGATGTGAAAATCTAGTAAGTGGTGGTTTTTGATAGAACCCTCGGCTGTGTGCCGACGGGAAAGGGGTCGAATCTCTTTTGGGTTTCAACTGCTTTGCCTGTGTCTAATTCTCGGCAGTGGGGACGCTACTCTGTAACAGGTAATTGACAGGCACCAAGATGGGACCTAGCAATGCCTGCATCTTCAAGGGCTGTCTCGAACATTAGATACGTCATGCAAATACTGATGGGCTGCTCGAGCTCTACAGAAGGTAGACAGATAACTGCAGCGATGTCTACGGTATTCCCGTGCACGAACTGCAAGACTTCATTTGTATGTTCTCCAACTTTCATCCCAGTTCACTTCTAGCCTTTCACCATCGTCAGTGCATTTTCCGGATCTCATTCTCACCTTGGAGAATAAAGACCTCGGCGACTCGGTGTACTACAAACCTACTGATTACCGTGTCTTTCTTCTCCATACGCAATCCTCTCATCCTCTTCCTGAAAAGGACTATATTCCTTTCTCTCATCTTCTACGCCAACGCAAACTGTCAGGAGTACGACGATTTTCACCACGAGGCCATGAAACTGCTGGACCTTTTCCGGGTCGAGGTTTACCATAAACAGGTCTTATCTGCTGCCTTTCACCAATCACTGTCTATCAGTATGAGGCCCCCATTTCCAAAAAAAAAAAAAACAAATGTCACAACAACAGACCTATCGTCATAAGGCACCATCCTCACAATATCCGTGCTAAAAATATTCTCCTCATGCACATCTCAATCCTCAGGGCTGACAGTGCCACCAGCACGATTTTCTCGGAACTTCCACTAGTGACCTACAAACATGACCTTAACCTCAAGGACGTTCTAATAAAAAGACGGTTAGGTCCTGCGTCCGAGTCCAACTTCGCCGCGTTCTCTTGCCACAGACATGTATGCGACACTTGTCCATATGTGGTTCAGGGGAAAAGTGAGAAATCCCGAACGCCACTTACCACATACGTAAAGCATTCTTCTGCATGAGCCGCAATTTCATTTATGCCATCAATACATCCTCGAAACCGGTCGAGGACTGGCTGACAGGTTCAGACAACATTTTTTGGATGTACAGAACTTGCCCTGAAAACAGTACCGTTGTACTTTGTTCTAAGGGTCACCAAGGTGTCCACGACATAGAGGTAACAGCTGTTAAATCTAGCCACACCCGCAACAGAGTCCGAAAGTCTCTTAAAAATCGCTTTTTTTCCACCTTAGGGAGCTAAGTACCTAGGGTAGTGTCAACACAGTTTCATTGAAAATTCTTGAGTTACAGTCCTGGGCATTCCAGTGCTATTTAGTGTTAGGCCACACGTATCTCTTCATTCCACTGGCTAGACATCGACATGGCTGCTTCAGGGTAACTAAGTTTAATGTTTCTGTGACTTCGTGTGATTTCGTTTGATTTACATATGTGCTGATAAAGGCTATGTAGCCGAAACGTTTACTTTTTGTTTGTTTTTGTTATATTGTGAAACTCTCTACTCTATTTTTCGTTCTGTTTTATATATTTCCATGATATCATTAACTGTGAAACCTGGAACATCAGCTCTTAAAATTCTATTACTTAGCAACGTAAAAACAGGTTTTTTTCTCTCTAGGTTGATTATAGCACTTATTTCTGCATGCGACAATTGTTGAAGAGGTAATTGCTTGTAGTTCCCCAATAGATGACACGACGTACATGACTATAGAAACATTGAGATGGTTGATATGACATATGTGGTGAGTGCGCATAGAAACATTGAGATAGTAGACATAAACATATACAGGGAGTGACTATAGATACATTGAGATAGTTTATATGACTCAAGTGTGGTGAGTGCGCATAGAAACGTTGAAATAGTAGACACAAACACATGAAGAAAGTGACGACAGAAACACCGAGATAGTTCACAGACGTACACATGGTGAATAGCTATAGAAAAACTGATCATTATCATCATCATCATCATGTAGCAGGTCCTTTGCAGAACGTCGCTCTCATCACAGTCTGCCTGAAAGAAGCTGGGTCTCTCGCCAGTTCTCCCGCCTCATGTATTTTCATACTCAAGGAGTCACTTACATCCTGTGCCCATCTTTGTGTCGGTCGGCCCCTGCCCCTCCTTCCTGGTACCATGCCTTCTGCTTTCATTTTTTTCAATCCGTTGTGGCGCTTAAAGTGACCAAAATATTTCAGCTTTCGGTAAAAGGATGCTGTTTATTAGCCAATCTTCCTTGATGTTCAGATCTTTTAAGATGTCAATATTTCTCCTCTTCTTTGTCCAAGATATTCTGAGAATCTTTCTATAGCATTTCAGCTCAAAAGCCCCTATTCTCTTTCTTA